CCATGATACATCCACGTGGAGCGACATGAACCCGAGCACGGGTTCAAACACACAAACGCACGCACACACGCACATCGACGCAATACGAATGACTGCCAACGGGACTGCCGACGAACTCTGAGCCATGAGTTCCGTGCGCCTCAAGACCTGCGCAATACCCAAGAGAGACACCTCATGGGTCGAAGAAGCGCCTCAGATAAGAGAACGACGGGAGGGTAGTAGAGCTTGAGCTTGCGCAGACCTATAGTCTCGCGACCCATTGGAGCGTCCAAGATGGCTCCAAGAGGGCCACAAAGAGCCGAAGGCGACCTCCAAGGTGGCTCATGATGGCGGCTTTAGATGGCTCGAAATAGCTTCCACCATGCTCGAAGAGGCCCCAAGACCGCCCCACCCAAGACGGCTCCAAGTGGCCACGGAGCCTCCCAAGGAAGCCACCAAGATGCCAGCATCCTTCAAGCACCCATCAACGTGTGTTGCCTTCTCGCCCATTTCGCTGTCCCTGGCACTCCGAGGCATCTAGATAGTTCCATGGCTCCAAGAAGGCGCAAGAAAGCGTGAGTGGTTTGGCGAGTGTCCTCTTGCATGTTCCCTTCTTCCCCTTCGGGGAGGGTTTTTCCATCGTGCTGCAAGCAGGAACGCTAAATCCATAGGGAACGAAGAGGCGTTTCTGGCCACGGCGAGCCCGGGCCACTTAACAGGTTCCCCGACCTAGGGTTAGGGAACGGCCACAAAAGCAGAGCGCCTCCTGAGCCGAAAGCGGTCCTTGCTTCAGCGTATGTCCGGCACCCCCTCCCCCTGGACCTGGGCGCCCCCACCCCCCCCTGGGTAGTTGGAGCGTCCAAGGAGGCATCGGCTAGAAAACACGAAGCACGTTCGTTACTTAGGTGTTGGGCCAATGCCGGCCTCCTTGGGAGCAAGACTAATTGATGACCCCCCCTTTCAAGATCGATCTCCTCATAAACGGCCCAAAACTTGCCCTGAAGGCGCCCAAGTGTCCCAAGAGGGCCCCAAACTGCGCCCAGGAGGCCCCAGGAAGCGCCCAAGAGGTCCCTAAAAGGCTCCCAAGAGACCCCCAAGAGGCTCCAAGAGGCTCCCCCGAGCTCCAAGACGCTCCTAGAGACCTGCGGAACCGCCAAGAGGCGCCGAAGACGCTCCTAGAGGACTCCAAGAAGCTCTCAAGAGACATCTGAAGAGGCTCCAGCAAGGAATCCAAGAGGCCTCTGGCCATTATGCTCGCTCGCTTCCTCCTTCTCTTAATCATCCGCCTGTTCCTCCTCCTCCTCCTCCTCCCTCTTTCCTTCTCTCTTTTCCGCCTCCCCTCCCCCTCCTCTCCTCCTCTTCCTCCTCCTCCTCCTCCGATTCCTCCTCCATCCTCCCCCTCTTGGGGTATGACGGCGTTCCCCAGCCCGTTATTCCACTGCATGCTCCTCCAAATCGCTGATCAAGGCACCTCGCCTGGGCATCTGGATGGGCTCGTGGGGTTACGCGAAACGCCTAGACTATACCAATACGGCTACTCGGCGTTCTGGCCAGAACGCTAAGGCAAATCGGCCGTGGCCGCGAGGAGGCCCAAGAAGGCGAAATCGAGGGAAGGGCAGCGGAATCACTAATTATATCTTCCTCCTGAGGAGACCCAAAGGTACCGATACCGCTACTCCACGGCCCTCTCCTGGGATGCGTTCTGACCAGGTTCTCGAGGAGAATCGAGCGGTGGCGACGAGGGCTTCCAAGGAGGCCCAAACAAAGGAGAACGAGAGGAATGTAGCAAAATGGGTACCTGTTCAGGGAACCGAACTCTATACACCGACGTATTTGTTGGCACTACATTGCAATTTGCACAAAGAAGCGGATCCTGGTGTACACGGGAGCCTGGTGTACACAGTTTTCGCTCGTTCCCTGGAAACAGAAAATACACCACACCGCCCCAACGCCGTCCCCGGCCCTCAAAAGTCCTGAGATCGAAAAACAGTCCGCTACTGAGAATGCATACATTTGAGGAGAACAATTATCGCGTTGGGAGGAAGGGGTTGGGAGGAGGAAGGGCATGACAATAGCATCCGGATGCAACGAACAGTACCTTCGGCCGCCTACGGGTAAAGACATCCTCATCCCTCCCATCCCCATCGTCCCAACCCGGGATGTTCGAGCCTGGATATTTCAGTCTCCAACTGTCCCTCCTCTGACCTTCATGTCCTCCCTCGAGCCGCACCTGGCCGTGGCGGCGGGGCCCGCCCGGAGCAGTCCCCAAAAAAAATCGAGGCCCGTGGAGCGGCCCCGTGCGCCCGGCCTGCAGCACCAGGCACTTGTGCTTCAAAGGGAGCTGCCAGACGTCCACCCCGGAGGCGTGCACGCACTCCAGCACCACCTCCGGCACGGGGCCCGCAGTCAAGAAGGAGGACAAGGAGGGACAAGAACGGCAGAGGCAGAAGCTGTTGGCGCTCCGCGCGGGCTTCCTGTGAGGGGCAACGAAGAGGGGGGGGGGAATGGCACAGGGGGGATGCATCGACCTGGAATCGGCGATACATCGCCGATAGATCGGCGATAGGCCCCCGACAGTGAATCCGCACCTTCCTGGGCAAGTTGGGCTATTGGTCCCCTATCGGCGATCAATAGGCGATTGCGTGTCGATGCATCCCCCCCTATGCCTGTGCCCCCCGATCGTTGCCCCTGTTCTTGGATCTGCGCCAGACCCGCCTCCCTGGCGCGCGGAACGCGCCAGGGGCGGCGCCGGAGGCACCGCCGGAGGGACCCGGGCGCCGACCCAAGAAATCCGCGCGAAGCGCCCAAAGTTTGTGTGTTTGTGCTTCCTCGACGCGCGGGGCACGGGGGAGGAGGGGACGGGGGGAGGGGGAAGAGAAGGAGGAAGGAAAAGAGGAGGAGGAGGACGGGGAGGAAAGGGAGGAAGAGGAGGAGGACGAGGAGGGGAAGGAGGAGGTGGAGGAGGAGGAGAAAGACAAGGAGGAGGAGGAGGAGGAGGAGGAGGAGGAGGAGGAGGAGGAGGAGGAGGAGGGGGAGGAGGATCCCAGTCGGCATTTGTTGCGTGCTCCGCCGGCCGGGCTTCCTCGACAGGTCGGGCCCCGGGACGTCCTCCGAGGCGGCTCCCATGGGGCGAAGAGAGCTCCCTCTCGGGGGGAAGGGGTCGGGGCCTCTCCAGGGGCCCAGGGACACACACACGCATAGATGCACGCAGCTCCCCAGAGCTCCTGCAGTCTCCTCCACGTGCTCTGGACCTGCGCCTTCCCCCCCCCCCACGTCCCACACTGAAAGGGCCCGAGGACACACAGAGAAATACACACGCAAAAAAAAAATGCCCCATAGTTTCCCATAGTTTCTGGGTGTTTGTCTTCCCGCCCAATTCCCATATTTTCCGATATTTTCTGGGGAATCGACGATTCATTGTGTCTGTGCGTTTCTTTTCCTCCTGACACATGTTCCCACATTGTTCTGGGGCTCGACGATAAAACTGTGCCTGTGTTTTTTTTTCCCTCCTGAACCTCCCCGGCCGCCCTCCAGCACCACCTTTGGGTCGGGCATGGCCCCCCAGAGGCGGATTTGGTAGGACAAGTACGGATCGGGAGCGGCCAAGAGGGGGGTGTCCAAGAGGGGGGGGTGCAAATCATGGCCGGCGGCATGTGCGCGGCCCAGGGGTTGGGCCAGAGACGCAATGTAATAAGAAGAGGCCCATGAAATCTGGGAAAATATCATGGCCCACGCCATGATACCCCCCCCCCCTGGTCATCACCCCCCTCTCTTCCGCCCCCGAACAGAACAGTCAAAGCATCATCAAACAGATGTAGCCGAGGGAGCACGCCACGTCGTCACCAGACTAGTGCTGGCACCACTCTTGAATACTCTCCTCCTCCATACAGAGGGACGTGCCCGGGGCCCGCAGCCACCGGCAGGAACAGCTAGGGCTCCCAACTTCGCGCTTCGCGCTGCGCGAAGCGCGAATAACTTCGCGCTCTCGCGCCGCCCTCCCAAAGGGAGAATAGGAGGACGAGGAGGAGGGGGAGAAGGAACGAGGACCGCGAAGCGCGAAGCGCGAATAACTTCGCGCCCTCGAGGGAGCCCTTGGAACAGGCTGCGGAGGCACGGAGTTTGGGAGCTCCGCGCGAAGTCCTCGGATCGGCGCGGGCCGCCCTGGCGGCGCCCGCAGCGCCGCCCTCGGCGCGCGTGCGCACGCCGGGCAGGGCGGGGGCCAGCGCCGAGATGCGAGGAATGCGCGGGGAGCTCTGGGTGCTTATGCACCTCCTCTCCTCCCTCCTCCCTCCTCCTCTCCTCCTCCTCCTCCTCCTCCTCCTCCTCCTCCTCCTCCTCCTCCTCCTATTCTCTCCCCTCCTCCCACCTCCACTCCTCCTCCTCCATTCCTCCTCCTCCTCCTCCTACCCTTCCTCCTCTCCTCCTCCTCCTCCTCCTCCTCCTCCTCCTCCTCCTCCTCCTCCTCCTCCTCGCGGGGAGCTGTTGATCACAGGCCGTGTCGTCTCGCCCCGCCGCACTGCCAGCACAGTCCTTCTCCAAGCCGACCCTTCCCCGGCCCACGACCCTTCGTGTAATCATAGTTCTCGCTCCCCTCCTGCGAGGCGATCCTGCTTCGTCGAACCCAACTCGCACTGGCGCCATCTGTGCGAGGCTGGGATTTGTCTATATCCACCGCCTGGGAACCGACGTCCTGGTGCCCCAGCGGGCGGTGGATATGGATACATGTTGCCCCCCAGAGGCCCGAACATATCCATATCCAACGCCTGTGGAGGTCCACGAAGATCGATCCCCCAGGCGGTGGTTATGGATAAATCCCCGCCTCGGAATCTGAGGTCGATGTCCGGAGGATGACCAGAAAACCTGACACACCTGCAGGAGGGTGAACCCCGGTCATGCGTGCCGGCTTCCCCGCTCAGGTAGAGGGCACTCCACCATGCCGAGCACTGGCCAAGGAGGAGGAGAAGGGCGACGACGACGACGTCGAGCGTGCCCACAAGAGGGCTCGTGCGAGGACGAGAGCCTCAGGCCTTCCCCAACAGGGCACGGCAGAGGACGAGGACGAGGACGACGAGCAGGGGCAGGGCAGGGTCAGCCTGGCGGTACCGGAGGGCCGCGAAGACTTTGGTCGACACAGGAGCTCGGTGTGCTGACGCCCTGGCTTCCCAAGCCACGGGATGCTGCAGCGCCTACGGTCGGGAACTTTGCTTAGCGTGTAGCGGCGGCGGCCCCAGTGGCGCGATATGATATGCCGTGCAAGCGGATAGCGTGTCGCTCCGCTCCACGGGGCGGAAGGCTCGGAAAAGCTGGGGACGTTGACGCCCCGGGACCCGGAAGCGGATAGCATGTCGCGCCGAAACATGGTGGGCCAGAACAGGCTGCGCGACAGGCTACCCCGAATTCCTCCGCCAAGGCACGTAGCCGATCAAACGACGCGGTGCGTATAGCCACCCTGCTACCATCAGAAGCGCCGAACTGCGAACGCAAGAGCTTTCCTGGCAACGGCAAGCCTCGGCAACGAGTGGGTTCCCCGACCCAGATCCAAGGAAGGGCCCCCCCTTGGCACATCCTGAACCCAGCACCTTCATCGCACACCCAGCCCCTCCGGCGGCGGCTGACCTGGCTGGGGGCCCCCAGGCGGGGTGCTGCCGGAGGTGTCTCTAGCCCAAAGGCGCTCAACCCCCATCCCTGGCGCGCGAACCGCGCCAGGAGTGGCGTCTGAGGCGCGGACAGAGGGGTCCAGCGGTCCAGCGCAGATCCAAGGAACCTGCGCGGAGCTCGGAACGTTGTTTATGCTGTCGTTTCTTCTTCAAGCACACCTCAGAAGGCCCAGAGGGGTACGAGAGCTCCGCAGTGGCTCGAAGAGCTGCGGACACCGCGGGCCAGGACCACATCCGGCAACACCCGACTCGGGACCGTTGCGTGCAGCCCTGCCGGCGCCCTAAGGGTGCTCTGGAGCAGTCGATGTCCTTCACGAGCGGCGAGTGCATCCAAAATCCCAGAGGCCTCCTCGATGGGGTCCGAGTGGATGGGATCGAAGGATCTCGCCGCATCGGCCATGCACTGGCGACGTCGGCGATGCATCGGCAACGTCGGCGCGGGAAAAATGGGGCCCCACATCGAGCCGCATCGCCGATGCATCGCCGATGCATCGGCGAGATGCCGCGCGATCCTCCGACCACATCTACTCCGCCCCCATCTGGGAGGCCTAGAATCGGGGATGGACAGACCTCCCGTTTGTAAAACGTGGTTCAGTGAAAATGACCTCGGGCCCAAACCTGGCGGGCGCGAGCCTGGAAAATGCCGGCCGCGGCGCCCTCTCGAGAACCGAACACGGGCAATTCACTAATCGACGAGTCAGGGTAGGAGGTCTGTCCACCCCCGACTAGAAGTCCGGTCTCGGGGATCTTCTGACCCGGGTCAATCCAGACACGGGTCAGCAGGACACCAAAAACTGCCATGCAGAATAACAAAAAAAATGCAACGCAGGTCTTCGCAAACCCGGGCCAGCCAATATGCGCGGCCGCCTCGCGGCCACGAGCGGCTCCCTGACCCGGGTCAGCCAGAGGGGGCCTCCGCAGGATCCTGCAGGACCGGGTGCCCTGGCTGACCCCCGTTTGCATTGGCCCCCGTCTCGAGGCTCCCGACGGACCCCCCGCGGTCCAGACGCCGGGGCGCGATCCCGTGGACCTCCCGGGGTCGCCGCCACGCAGCCCACGCGAGGGGCGGGCCCGGTGAGCGGTCGGGGGCCCGCACGCGGGCGCCCCCGCGCGGAGCCCCTGGGGGGGCCACACGGGCGGGGCTCCCCACGCTGGAAAAGCAGAAACTCCTTCTCCTCCTCCTCCGCCTCCGCCTCCGCCTCCTCCTCCTCCTCCTCCTCCTCCTCCTCCTCTTCCTCCTCCTCCTCCTCCTCCTAATCCTCCTCCTCTTCCTCCTCCCCTCCCCTCCTCCTCCTCCTCCTCCTCTCTCCTCCTCCTCTCCTCCACTCCTCCTCCTCCTCCTCCTCCCCTCCTCCTCCTCCTCCTCCTCCTCCTCCTCTCCTCCTCCTCCTCCTCTTCCTCCTCTTCTCTCCTCCTCCTCCTCCTCCTCCTCCTCCCTCCTCCCTCCCTCCTCCTCCTCCGCCTCCGCCCTCCCTCCTCCTCCTCCTCCTCCTCCTCTCCTCCTCCTCCTCCTCCTCCCTCCTCCTCCTCCTCCTCCTCCTCCTCCCCTCCGCCTCCGCCTTCTCTCCTCCTCCTCCTCCGCCTCCTCCTTCCTCCTTCCTCCTCCTCCTCCTAATCCTCCTCCTCTTCCTCCTCCTCCTCCCCTCCTCCCCTCCTCCTCCTCCTCCTCCATCCTCCTCCTCCCCTCCTCCTCCTCCTCCTCCTCCTCCTCCTCTCTCTCCTCCTCCTCCTCCTCCTCCTCCTCCATCCTCCCGCCTCCTCCTCCTCCTCCTCCTCCTCCTCCTCCTCCTCCTCCTCCTCCTCCCCTCCCCTCCTCCTCCTCCTCCCTCCTCCTCCGCCCTCCTCCTCCTCCCCCTCCTCCGCATCCTCCTCCTCCTCCTCCTCCTCCTCCTCCTCCTCCTCCTCCTCCTCCGCATCCTCCTCCTCCTCCTTCTCTTGACGCTCCGCGCGGCTTTCTTGGATCAGCGATGGACCACTCCTTCCCTGCGAGGCGGGGACTTATCCATGTCCACCGCCTGGGAACCGACGTCATGGTGCCCCAGCGGGCGGTGGGTATGGATATATATATATATATATATATATATATATATATAGTTCGGCCCCTGGGGGCCCGAATATGTCCATATCCACCGCCTGCCGAGGCTCCGAAAACTGACTCTCCAGGCGGTGGTGATGGATAAATTCCCGCCTCGGATTCCTCGCGCGCGGAGCGCGCCAGGGGCGGCGTCGGAGGCGCCGCCAAGGGGGCCCAGCACAGATCCAAGAAAGCTGCGCGGAGCGCCAAAAGTTTACGCTTACGCCGTGTCATGCCTTCGTCGGCACAAGGCGCATTCTCTACTTCGGCACGCGGAACACGGCCAGAGCTCCGTGGGCTGCGACGGAAGGTTGGCGGAGGAGGGGCGCGGCCTGGCGGGGCCCTGCCGCAGCAGCAGCAGCAGCAGCAGCAGCAGCAGCAGCAGCAGCAGCAGCAGCAGAGGCACTGATTTTCTCCGCCGCCCCGCCGCGGGCGGGGGCCTCCGTCTTCTCCCCGCGCCCGCGGAAGAGGGCGGAGGGTAGGAGGCCACATGCGAAGAACCCTGCCCCACCAACCCACGATCGCTAGTACTATTGGGGGGGAGGTGGGGTTCACTTCGCTGGGGAGGTCCCGAACGAAGTGAATCCCACCTCCCCGCTCAGAAATTGTGGGGTGGTGGGGTGGTGGGGCAGGGTTCGCATGTGGCCTCCTCGAGAAGCCGCTGCCTCGCGCGCGCCGTGGTGTGGCCTCACCTGGCCTGCTGCGCCATTCGCCTCGCGTAGGGCCGCGACACGCAGCGACTCCCGTTGCCGTGGTGCTGCCTCTCCTCGGGGAGCCGCGGGCAGAACACCTCGGTGGAGCTTCCCTCGGCCCGGCCCGCGTGCAGCCGTTCCCGCATCACGGCGGCCGTGAGCGCGGAGTGCTCGGTGCCGATGAAGTGTGCCCCGCGCGCGAGCACGCGGAGGACGATCAACTCCGCCTGCCCGCTGTGCTCTGGCACCCTGGCGCCGTCGTCCTGCGCGAAGTAGTACAGCGGCGCCTTCACCCGCCGGCGCAGGTCTTCCCGAAAGCCCTCCGGGGCGTCGGTGGCAACGAAGACCTGCTCCAGGCCGACCTCCCTGAGCAGGCCGTTCAGGCGCTGCGCCGCCGCCGCGGCGGACGGCACGTCCTCTGGGTGAAATTGCCGGTGCTCGTTGCGCCGCAGGTGGACGGCCAGGTAGCCCAGCACCCCGAGCGTGGCGGCGACGAAGCGGTCCGCTTCGGCGCGCAGCGCGGCCGCGGGCCGCAGCGCGGGGTGGAAGAGCCGCGTGGCCGCGCCGCCTGGCGAGTGTGCCCCCGCGGCGTCGAGGCTCTTCAGGAAGACGCGCCTGGCGCCTGTCGCTGTGGCCGCGGCGACGAGGTCCCCCAGCGCGCGCCACGTGGGCCTCCGCAGGCGCCCGCACTTGAGGTCTTTGGCGAGCACCTCGGCGCCGCAGTACCCGGAGTAGTCCAGCAGCACGCCGCCCTTCACGGACCGCGGCTCCGTCAGCAAGCCCTCGCACTCCTCTGGGCTGCGCGACCAGCCCAAGAACTCCCCGCGGGCACCATCGCCCAGCGATGCGTCGCCTGCCGGCGCTGCGCCCGCGACCACGGCGAGGTCCACGCGTGCGCTGCCGCCTGCGCCGGTGCTGGGCGCGAAGGCCTCGAACTCTACCACTGGCGCCGCTTCCGTAAGCGAGGCCACGTCGAAGAGCTCGCTCCACGGGAGCTCGGCCTCAGAGTACCAGTGGACCACCGCGCACCACGTGGGTAGCACCAGCGTCCACGGCGCGCAGCGGGGCTCCACCGTGGCGCCCTTCGCGGCCTCTGCACACGCCGCCTCGACCTGAGCGTTCAGCTCTTTGACGACCCTCATCGCCGTGAAGAGCACCTCCAGCTGCGCGGCGAAGCTCGTGCCGAAGCGCGCGTCGTAGAGCAAGTAGCGGCGTGCTGCTGCGGCCGCCGTCCGCGCGCCCGTCGCGGGCGCGCCCTGAGACGCCGGCGGCGGCCGAGCTGGCGGCGCCTCTGTCTTCGCCTCGGCCTCTGTTTTCGCTTGCGCCTTCGCCTCGCCCAGCGGCGCCTGCGGCGGCGCCTGTCGTGCGGCCGCCGGCGCGGAGCAGTTCGATGCGCACTCGGCCCACACCGCCTGGGCGTCGCCGCACCTGCAGGTGGGCCCGCCCGCGCCACCGGCGGACCCGCCTGGTGGTCCACAGGGCGGGCCGAGCGCGCGACCTGCCGGGCGGTCGACGGCGGCCGGCGCCACGGCGACGCACCACGCGGCGCACGCGGCGTCCGTGGCGTCCCAGGGGCACGGCGCGCGCTGGGACTCCCTCGCGCGGCGGGCGGCGGCCGCCGTGGCGCGCAGCCCAGCCGTGGGGGCCTCGACCTCGGCGGCCCCGACGCCCACGCGCCGCACAGCGGCGGCGCCGCCCTGCGGGGTGACCAGGACGCCCCGGTCGGAGCCCGCGAGGACGAGGCGGTGGCCGCCCTCGGACGCGGCCATGGCCGGGGAGAGCGCGCCGCCGCCCTCGAACACCCAGCCGGCCAGCTCCGCGCCGGGTCCGCTGGGAGCCGGGAGGTCTGAGGCCGCGGACTCCGCCCGAGCGCCACGCAGCGCCGCCGCCGCCGCCGCTGCCGCGAACAGAGCGGCCGCCGCGGGCGCCGGACCGCTGCCCATGGGCGCACCGCCAGCCCGCCGAGCGCCGCCGCCACAGCTGCTGGCTGCCGCAGGGAGCAGCCGCCAGCGGCCCGCGGGCGCCGCAGAAGGCGCGCGTGAGCTCAAATGGCTACGGAACGGCAGCAGAGGCAGAACAGCGGACAGCGGCAGCCGCCCTGCATGGGGGGGGCAGCGGCGGCAGCGGCGGGATGGGGGAGGAGAGGGCGGAGGAGGAAGAGGAAGAGAGGAGGAAGCGCGCGGCGCGGCGGAGAGGAAAGCGAGACCCCAGCGGCACGAGGGGACAGCACGCGGGGTCGCGAGAGCAAGCACGGCTGGACCTCGCGACCACGCCTTGTGCACAAAACCTCCGAGACGAGGCGACCTCTCCCGGCCCATGGGCGCCTGGAGCGGGGAAATCCGACAAGCCTGCCCGCTGCGACATCTACCACGACGCCTGGCTGTGTAAAGAGAAGTGGTGGGCTCTTCGGCCGCCAAAGTCGGGCCAGGGGAGGGAGAGGGAGAAGGAGGAAGACGACGACGAAGAAGCAGAGGCACAACTTGAGAGCGGGCTTGCAGCGCGTCCCCACCTCGCAAACGCAAGGCGCTCGCGCGCGGCACCGCCTCCGCGACTTGGCGAAGGGAGCACTGCGCGGGCCGCGCAGGGGCGGGAGCGGCAATGACGAAGCATGCGCCGCGCTGGCACTGCCGATTTCGCTCACTACCTGCGCGGCGCTTGGGCAAAGTCGGGATTTCGCCCGCTCTTGGTGGGCTTGTTTTCCACCACCACCACCACCACCACCACCACCACCACAAGCAGGAGGGGGAGGGGGCCCTCCTCCTCTTCTTCTTCTTCCTCCTCATCCTCCGCCTCCTTCCCCCCTCCAACTTCTGGTGGTGGTGGTGGTGGAAAACAGGCCCATCAGCTCTCGCGCGGCCCCGCCGCCGCTGTCGCTGTCACGCGATTCGGCGGAGCGCGGCTGGACCCCCCCTCCCTGGCGCGCGCAGCGCGCCGGGGGCGGCGCCGTAAGCACCGCCAGGGGGGTCCGGCGCCGATCCGAGACATCTGCGCGGACCTGAGAGTTTCTATGTTTATGCCATTCTTCGCTCCCCCAGACAGATCGACCCGGCATCGGCGGTGCATCGCCGCCAGATCGGCGACAGGGCCCCGACGAGCGGGGCATGCGCGCTTCAACTGGGCGGGGGCGGGCGCTCGGGCCCCACGCCTGCGAGGAGTGGGTGGAGGCCGCGCTCCCCCCCCCGGAGCACGACAGGCCAGCCATGTGTGCTCAGCCTGTCGCGGCGGCGGCCCCGGCGACCCGCAGTCCCCGGCGAGCGGACACGCCGAGCTCCTTCAGGAGCGTCGGGAAGGCGTCACCCCCGCCGACCGCCCCACACCGACCCCGTCCGCGGGGGGCCGCCGCGCGACCCCCGTCGGGCCGTCGGGGGTCGTTAAAGGCTTAACGACTTCTGCCGTCCTTCGACTCGCGCTGGAGCGGCCGCGAAGTGCTCGAACTTTCCCTGGAGATCTCTGGATGTACCTGGATTTACCCAGATTTATCTAGATTTACCTGGATTGACCTGGATTTACCTCGATTTATCTGCATCTACCTGGGCTTATCTGGCTCGATTCTCACAAGTCGATTGGCGAAAAGTCGACAAGCCCTTAGGGAGGGGGGGGGGGGGGGTGCCCCCCCCCCCCCGCGCATCGAGGAGCCCCGGAGTGGCGTGCCGCTCCTCCCCGCGGGGCGAGACGCCGGGCAAGGCTCGGGGCGCGGACGCCCTGGGGGCCGGGACGTGGACAGCGTGTCGCGTCGCAGTGCGGTGGGCCAGCGCCGGTAGGCGCGACACGCTGCGCTGAAGTCGGGCCTGTCCCCCATACAGGGAGATTTTCGAAGACAAATAAAACATACCCCCAAAATAATCAAAAAATAACGTCCGAACATAGCCTGGGGACTGATTATGCCAATAATGTTTGACCTTCTTGGTGCATGTTGGGTGCATGTTCTATGTTTCATCGAAAATCCCCCTGTAGGGGGACACGCCCGACATAGGTGTCTGATGGGCCTGTTTTCCACCACCACCACCACCACCACCACAAGTTGGAGCGGGAGGGGGTCCTCCTCCTCCTCGTCCTCCTCCCCGTCCTCCACCTCCTCCCCCCCTTCCAACTTATGGTGCACCTGGTGGAAAACAGGCCCATCAGTGTCGCGCCGCAGTGCGGTGGGCCAGAGCCCGCTGCGCGACACGCTGCGCCACAGCTCCCGACCGCATCCCCCCGTCAGCGGTCCTCGTCGCC